TTGTCTCCATGGTTACTGATTTTTCTGAAATGTTCCTCACAATGGCATTATATTTATCTATTTCCATGAAAAATGGCAGATCAAGTTACAGGTCAGATCTATGGAGAGGCTTCCTGCTCAGTCTAACAATACATGTTTTTCAAGGTATTTTTGAGTAAAAATCTTTCAAAAACACAGAGAGATTTAATCAGTGCCAAACAATGTAAAATTCAAGGCAAAGTAATAATATCTCCATGGAGACATCCTGTATTAAGTCAGGGCTTACATTTCTCCAGCTGGTCCTGCACCACCACCAGGAAGGCCACACAAATCATGAAGAGGTTGAAGCAGAAGCACACCTCACAGAGCTGCCCCACGGCACGACCACACACCTCTCTCACCACATCCTGATAGGTCTTCTGTCTGCTAATGGATGAGGAGTAGCCCAAAATCACCAAACCACTGATGAGGAATACCAGAGATGCCTAAACAGAAGCACAGATATTATTACATACAAGAGGGGGGTTCTTACATTTACTTAAGTTATTTAATTATTTATTTAGTTTTTTGGAGAAATGTCAACAGAGTATTTTTCAGAAACCATACCTTTAATCCTACTTATGTTATTAGGTTCTTTTTTCAAACAAAGAGTGCAGTCCGGCTTCTTCAGGACAGTATTTCAGGTGTGTGAGTGTAAAAAGCCCCTCATCCCAGTTTATAGTACCGTGGGCACGTTTCCATATTACAAATGGTTCTTTGTTTTCCTATGTCCCAGTGATGTTTGCTCTGTCCCAGTTCATAATGTGGTTCTCTCTTTTACAGTGGTCAGAGATGTTCAATTTGAGTTGTTCCTGTTCTGCTTTGTGTTTTGTTGCTAGTGTGCATGCCTTCACTGTTTCCTTCTCGCATTCTGTCCTATGTTCCTGTTTTTGTGTACTGAATGCCCTCCCAGTTTCCCCAGTGTGTGTTTTATTGCAGGACATATGGGGTATTTCATATACGACATTACATTTATGCTCCAGTTCTGTTTTATCTTTTCGGTGAACAAGTAATTGCCTGAGTTTCACTGGTGTGTTAATATTGTGTTTTCTCATTGCCCTCTGCACTTTTTCTGTTATGCTCCTTATGTATGGTAATGTTAGCATGTCTGCACTCTTTTTTTCCTTTTCATTTTTGTTTCTCTGGTTTAGTTTTTCTTTCTCTTACCTGTTGTTTTCCTTTGTTTATTGCCCATTTTGGGTATTGGTATTGCTTCAGAGCATTGTGGATGTGTCCGTCTTCCTCCTGTTTGTCTTGTTCACCTGTTATAATGTTGCTTCTGTCAAATAATGTTCTTACAATAGAGAGTTTTTGGGCTGTGGATTGTTCCGATATCCACAAGAGGTATTGGTCAGTGTGGGTTGGTTTTCTATATATTTTTATTTTGATGCTGCCATCTTCCCTGTGCGTGAAGTTCATGTTCAGAAAATTTATTGTTTTATCTGCTTCTTCTTCATATGTGAATTGGATGGTTCCAGTGCTGTCTATTGTGTTTAGGTGGTCTGTTAGCTCCTGTGTGTGCCCCTTACTGAATTAGTCATGTAGTATGTCATCCATGTATCTTTTCCACATAGTGAGTCCACATTCTGTTGGTGCTGTGTTAATGGCCTTCTCCACCAGATCCTCCATGAAGTAGCCACTCATTGGCCAATAACGGGTCCCCCATGGTGAAGCCCTCCTTTGCCTGTAAATTTTTCCTTTGTATTGAAAGTATATGGATGTGGTTTAATCCTACTTGACAGTGTAACAGTATTCTTACTTTTTTTAAAAATTATCTTCAATTGACCAAAGCATGTTGACAATAGTAAAATATTTGAACACTGTATTTCTATATACTTCTGATGTAAGAATGTCATTTTGTAGTTTATTTTTTAATATGCCAGATTTTATTGATTATTTAACGTTTTGTCCTCACACTGACTTCAAATTATAAATCAGATCACCCAGACAGTCACTCTCAACTGAAGTATTTTCCCATATAGATTTCATTCATACTTGAGTAATTTCTTGGACCATTAACATTACTTACTTAAGTATTTCTACTTGAGTAATATTATTTTGAAGTAACATTCTTTAGGAGCAAAGTGTGAAGGAGACTTTGGAAGAGTAAATTTGATTTTGTGGACATTCATATCACATTATGGGGTCTATAATCTGTATACACACTCCCAATGATCTAAGTTTCAACATTCAAAAGCTACATTTGTTTCCAGTACTGACAGCCTCATATACACAATGCCTTTATATCAGTGTGTTGTTTTTTATAACAATGAATAACCAAAGCCTTCATGTGAGTTCAAATTAAATAATATATATAACATTGTAGTTAATAAGATAAAAACTCTTTAATCTGCCCTAGCATCTGTCTGATTGGACGTTATGACATATGTATTGTTTTCTCATTCAGGAGCAGTACCAAGAATTTGAATCTCACCGAAACTTGATGCTTCATTAGAGGTAACTTGTGAAGAGCAAAGCCCTTTTTTCACATTCAGGAGACATATGGGCTCTCTATGTCAAATCAGGAGGACTACAATCCAAGAACAGTCATCTTAAGTTTTACACAATTTGCAATATTATATATTGGCCACTGTATTTTTAACATCAATTTAAAATGTAAGCCTATATGCATTCGCTCATAGGGGCCGTATAGAGTAGGCCTATTTAACAAAAGCGTTTCAAATCAATAGCTGACTCGAATAGGTTATCTATGATTAAATGCCTGAAACTCGTCTGTAACTTAGTACCAATAACACAGGTTTAAGGCCTATCCTATTGTCAAACAAACAAACAAAATAATGAGGCAAAAATTTCTAAATGGATATGGGTGAATAAACACTTTCTGCACACAGTGAGCCCTATTTTAGTCATAAGCCAATTACCAAATTATCATTAATTCAACATTTTAGTATTTTACTAACCAGTTCCACAGAAATGGCCGTGGTCACTCCTCCCGCTTTCTCAAAGGCCCATGGGAAGTTGAGCAGCCCGGCTCCCAGTGCGGACTTGAGCATGATGAACACGGCGCCAAACGAGCCCAGTCTCGGCTGGTCTGTGTGCGAGGCGGAGCGGGAGAAGAGACAGATGCTCTCCCGGGCAAGTTCCTCCATGATTCCTGGTCTGGACTTTTCTCCTCAACAGATAAGATAGCTTAGCTTACTTCAGTCTTTTCAGGGTCCCACCTAGTGCGGCTTGGTGTCTCATGCTCTGAAGTGAAATTATGCTACCCTTTATTACCCTGTACCTCCCACACCAGCTGTATATTCAGATAATTAAACATTTCACCCTGGGGTGACACATTTGACACTAAGGTGAGTGAGCATGTTTGCTGTGAGTGTCCTCTATTTTCAGTCTGACCTGTCCAGCATGGTCCAGCAGGAGCCTATATGATCCTACAGGGGAGCCATTGGGGTAAGAGGTTTTAGCCAACATAAGACATTTTTATTACAACCAATAGCATTTGAGACTACACATATTAAGGGTTCTGGATTCTCCCTATTAGCTCAGGAGTTAACTGGTCTCTTGGGAGAAGCTTGGAGTAGAGCCTCTGCGCCTCCACATTGAGACACCCGGAAAAGGTCATGGGGAGGTAAAGAAGAAAGAATTAAAACCAATAGAAAATTTTCTTTAAATGTAGCATTAAGATTAACCTTGGCCACATAAAGACATGGTCCCTCATTGGCTAAACCTACATTTAATACACAGCTTAATTTCATGTATTTATTTATTGCAGGGATATTGCACATTGCACGCCAAGGTTTAAGAAGAGGTGGGCCTGTCCATGGGTCCTTGTCATTTTTATTTATGTATTCATTTATTTATTTATTCACTTATTTTTATCAACCATCTGCAGGGAACTGTGAAGTTCTTGGGCATGTAAAATATTAAGGGAAAGCTGTAACACACTCACTTTCAGTGAAATCAACCATTCTGGGGTGATTTATGTAGATGCAATTTGAAATCTGATATTCCTCTGTGCTTGTTATGACTTACAGTATAATTAGATCTCAGCCATTTGTCTGTACTCCAAAGGGTTTAGAAACAGTTTCAGTTTGGATTGTGGGTTCTTTTCATCAGGTATTTGTGGAAAGATCTTTTATAGTATAAACTTCAGTTCAGTACAGTAGAAAAGTTTGCATTTATCAGACTATAAGATTTTTTGCAATTTTGCAGATTGTAATGCCACCAAATAATTGCAAAAGTAAGTGTTTTACAACATCTGGATCATGTATGTCTGTGTGTGTGCACGCGCGTGTGTTTGTGTGTGTGTGTGTGTGGCAGTTTTAAATGAATATGTGGGACAATCAGAGATTAGAGTGAGAGCAAGGTGTTGTGGGGACATGAAGCTTATCTGACTGACTGAAAACAGCACATCCAAACTTGACCAAAAAAAAATTCAGCTGAAACTAATAATAAGTTACAGTTCAGTGTAGATGTGAGGAACATCAGCCTACATCGTGTCAACAAGGAATCAATAAACAATGCTATAGATATGAAACTACTTTTTATTCTACTGCTGAAGGAATCATAGAATGCGCTGTATTTTTTCACAAATATAAAACTATTTAAAAAGTACCAATAGTTTTTAAGTAACATGAACTATATTATGTAATATATGTGTGCTTGTTATACAATAGGCCTATACAGTTTTTGAATAATAAATCATTGCCATGTTGCAAGTACACACTGCATATCTGAACATTTTTTTAAAAAAAGGGACATTTAATTAGTTCTTGAGCATACTTTTCATCTTGCCCAAGTGCATGCATGTCAGCTTGAAGGCTTCATAGAGTTTATATTTTCAACATGTCCTTGTTGAAGTATTAGACCACTGACTGTTCTGTTCCAAGTCCTCGTTCATCTGACTCGAGGTTCATATTCAACTGGTATTTAGGACTGTAGTATTCAGTCCACCATGGCCAGTTTGAAGAATGTCACTGTTGATCACTGTTTCTTTGTGTGTTGAAGCAAAAATGTAGCAGCTATACATAGAGAAAGATAAGCATTGTGCTGCAGACTGGAAGAAACAGCGAGCTAAAAGTGGGGTCATCTTTGTAAGTCTTCCCTTTGAGTGTCTCTTGGTTAGTCTGTTCTGACGTGGGGGGACTCTGGGCTGCAGGCACAGTAGTGGGGCTGATGGTGGTCCGGCTAGCACACATCTCATAGAGGTTTCCTGAAAACTCTGTCTTCCTTGACTCCTTTCTTAAAGACTCCCACACTGCTGCTGCCTCTCCAGGACATCCAGCCAGTGCAGCATTTGCACAGTCATGAAACTCATTCCAGGACCTTTGAAGGTAAAGTTTATTGTTGATGTTAAGATTCTATAACTAACTACTACTGCATGGCAAAGTTTTCACTTCAAGTAGTTACACACAAGGTGCCTTATAGGTAATTTAATATCTAAGACAATAATAATAAATTTTTCAAAAATGTTTTTAAAATAATTATTAGTATTAGCAAAATAATAATATAGTTATTAGTGTGATTGTTTGCACATACCTGCAAATTGCATCAATGTCTTGTGTATTCTGGTCGGGTTGATTTTCCACCAAACTGTCTCCTAGTTTTAATAAACATTGCGCAAAGCTCTTGTAGATTGAGCCACAGGAAGGGGGAATTGCAGCTCCCAAAGTCAAGGGGACTAAACCTGTTAAGAAGATAGGAGTAAGTTACAGTATTTTTATGTAATGCTTTTTGAGAAGAATTATATGTGTAGAACTGACATGAAAAAAAAAAGCATCAAACTGCACTAGATCTGCCATTCCTCTGGGAAAGCTTTATGCATGATTTCGGAGCTGAGCTGTAGAGATTTACTCCCTTCTCACCAGATGAGTATTAGTGAGGCCAGGTGCTCTTGAACTATAACGTTACCCTTTTTGTTGGCACACAAAAATATGCTATATAAAACCGATGTATTATTATTATAACGATTTGATATAATATGAATATTATAAATGTGTCAAATGATCTGTTCATTTCTGCATGTAGATTAATTTGTAATTTTATGTTTTTGGTGAATTAGTACAATATTACAAAATTATGTGCAGTTGTACTTTATTTTTAATGTTATTAATTTATTATCACACACAGACAAACCCAAAACACCTAAAAAGAAATTCCTAAGAACTGTATTGATAATTAAAAGACTAATTTTATCTTGCAGTACATTCATCTCAGTCATACAATTGTAATAAGAGTAGAAAAATCCTTACAGAGAAATGATGCCAAATTCAGCAGCATCTTTGAGGTGATATGTTGAGTCCTCATCTTTTGACTCTGCAGTGTCCTCCACGATGAATCCCCCTTCTGAACTGGAAGGCCTAGAAATAACCACTACAATTTGAAAATCCAGAATGTGAGTTTTTCCTCATTAGTGCTAAAAATGGCCTGGGTGCAAAAGTGCACCATTGCCAAGCACTGTCCAGCTGGATTAACAGAGAAAAACTGCTCTGATGCTGCATGTGTACATGCATGTGTGTGTTGGGGGGGCTGTGTGCAACAGACCAATGACAGCATCACAGGAGTACACTGGATTAGAGTGTTCTCATTTCCGGTGTATTTACAACATTTGAAATAGAAATCAATTATTGTTATTGTGTATTGCACAATACTTAAATTGGTAATATATTCATATTGATATTAATGGTCACTAATTAAATTGAAATGTGTTACATTTATGGCAATATAATTTGTTTACTGACAGATGGGTAATGTCCCAGTGGGAGCTTGTTTGGGGGTGGCCTTTGAGAATAGTTACACTCATACTGATGTTGAAATAATATGCCTTTACACCGAGCTTGTACAAATAGTTCAGACTTGAGCATCTGTCTTACAATATCTCTTGTGTTTTTCTGAGCCTCCAAATCTCTTGCTTTGTCCACCAGATGGCTCACACTCTGTGCATTAATGTATGTCCCACATCCCATATACAGACACAAGAAAAACCTATTGTTAATCTGCAGCTTAAAGCAGCCATTAACTAGAAAATAATCTGTCTAAAACATGTGAAACAATAGTATCAAAGAAAATGTGACTTTCTCAAGGAGTGTTCAAATGTTTATAAAATAATACAATACACTATAATAAATGTTTATTTTGGCCTCTCTTTAAAGACTCTTTAAGTATTTGAGGAAAAATCAGTTTTTGCTGTGATTTGAAAATGAGCTCTATTGGTCAGGGTGTTTTTCTTTCTACAATGCAAAATTAAAGGTTCTGATTTCAAACAGTTTTACACCATCCATTGTTTTGTATACATTGTGATTATTCTCAAAGGATGAGACAACAGTACATTAGTTGTTGTAGAAGTTCAAAAAAGGGTGGTGGTTATAGGTTTGATTGACAGCTCTGGATTATAGTATTATGTAACTCTGTTGGGAGACAAAAAATCCAGATGAGATTAGATCTGCTCAATGCCTTTCATTCATTTATCCCTTTCGCTTGACCCAATATTATCTAGTGATAACATGCATGGTGCATTAAAAAACATGCCAAGAGTTTGCACATTTTACTAGTAAAATTCACATATTTAATTGAAAATCTATTTAATTTAATTGAAAATCAGCGAAGTCAAACAGACATTGGAAAGCTTTGTTTACCGTGGTTTTAAGAACACTGCCACCCCCAGGGGAAATTTAGAGCTACAATAGGTTTTGATATATTATATCAACGTCTCATGGCAAAAATGTAAATTTATTCAATTATGACTCAATAGAACAAGCTTCAAAGGCTTCAAATGTTATATATAATACAATATACAATAAAACGTAATGAGAATGGTATCACAATTGTGAAAATACTTCGTCAATTAAACCATTTTAGAATAGTTATTGCGTTGTTGACTTCGGCCTAAATAGTTGAACCATGGATGTGGAAACTACAGTATTGCTAAAAATTAACATAACTAATGAGCTCCATCTCCAGATATTACACCACACACACTGACAAAATAAAGGGTATTATTCATTTCTGATTTCCAGAACAAACAATTCTTTTAATTTTCTAAAACTGAAAACAGCATTTCACAAAGCCATAAACAAAACAACAATTCATATCATGTTTTAATAGATGTAATTTTTGAAGGGAAATTTGAAAGCTGTCCGTTCGGCTGTGCACTCAAGTAATTTTTTCTACATCCCTTATGTTAACATATTCATATGACCAATCTGAAAAACTTTTAAAAATCTAAATGTATGCATGTTGTTTTTAATTTTGATATATGTACTTCCATTTTATATCTTTGTGTTCAATTTCTCAGATGGTAGATTTTTGTACTTTCAAAATCAATTAGATGTGCTCTGATATTTAACACCATGACACTGAAAACCAACGCTACACTTAGCCCCTTTAATAATAAAAACACTGCTCACATTTTGATACAAAATAGGGCTGTCTATGACTTAAAAAAAAATCACTGGTCTCATTTTAATGAGTTTTTGTTACTCTCCATCTCCAGGCATTCAAACACACACTAATTTAGATGTAGAGACATAGAGCGTCAGACTTTCTTCCGGGCATTGGAGCTGTTTACAACTGTGGGGTTACCAAGGCCAATGAGGAGCCTGTCCCTCTCTCGGACCTCCTCCTGTAATTTTGCTTCTGTTACCCGCAGCTGTCGGATAGTCGCTTTCATCTCTTTCATCTTGACCTCCATCAGTGCGATGATGTCCCGTTGCTCGTTCAGTTTACGCAGCAACTCTGAGGATGTAGTCCCCGTGGTCAGTGAATAAGAGTGGTCCAGTGGGCTGCTGGTCACACTCACATACTGTATTGTAGGTTGGGCATCTACTGCCCTCGTGTCTGTCTTTGATTCATCGATGGTTGTATCGTCTTCTACGGGTGCTGTGTAACAAGTCCCTTCAGTTTGAGCGGGAAGTCTCGCTGTGCCTAAATACTCGCCGTTTTGACCAATCTGAACAACAGTGATCTCATCGTTGTTGGCCTCACCACCAACAGTTCCCTCTGTTCCTTCTGGTACACTCAAATTACTAATAATAATCCCGGAGGTGGCCGCTGGGGCGGGAGTGGGCACAGGAGCTGGCACAGGAGCTGGCGCAGGGGCAGACACCTTCTTTCCTCTTCCCCGCCTGTTCCTCCGCTCATTCACGCCTCTCAAGGGAAATAACGACGGGACTCGTATTGTGTAGGTTTTTCTCCCGCCTGCAAAGTGTACACTGCACACCCGGTGTCCTGTGGTGGGCTGAAAAGTACTGAAACACCCGCTGACCCCTGCTCTGGAGATGTTCCTCAGCCACTGCTCTCTGAGCGCGGCGTCTTTCGGAAACGTGTAGAAGCGCAGCTCCCGGTCTCGATGTGAATTGTTGTAGCAGCCAGGCACACAGCAGGTGAACCCGGGCATATTTACTTCCACCCCAAGTCTGAAAATATAAGTATTGTGTAGAGTTTAAACAATTGTTCACAGTTGTTTGTTAACTATACATCTGTATCAACCTTAGCGGCCTACAAGCAAACTACACGTCCCACAAAACTAACGGCTTCCAGTTTATATTCTACGAATCGTAGAGAAATTTCCCTCTATTAACTGGACTTATCACAAAGCATAGATATGATCTGCACTACATACGAGGTGTGAATCTGTATTTTCGCTGGGAAAAGTCTGGTTTTGTTGTCCTCGCTGCACCGTCCTTCTCTTGGAACTAAAAATCCCACAATCCTTTGCGAGTCCTTATCCAAAGATTTGTTAGGTAGCTCCCCCTTCTGGTGAAACCAAACTGGCCAAACCAAGGAACTTTGGGTCCAATCCATGGATCTAATAGAATGTACAGTCTGTGGGTCAAACGCAGGGATCTATCCATGAAGTCATCATTAATGAACACAAAGCTACTAAAAACGTTGGCTTAATAACTCTAAAATGAACAATTTAAAAGAAAGAGCACAGCAAAATTTTACTATACCCGGAAGTGTTCTGGGTAAATATGATGAATATTAATTTCACATTTTACCTGAAAACTAAGTAGTAAACTAATTAACTGCTCCTGTACAATAGTTTTACAGTGAGGGTAGTATAAGACACTGATCAATATTTTAATCGGTTTAAACTGGTAGTCCCCCTGAGTGTAGCTGAGCCGGGCTGAACGCATCTGTCCAGTCCCCGCTGGAGTTACCATAGGCAACAGCGGGCAGCGCCTCTGGAGTAAAGACCAGCGCTGTGGATGAGGTAGGTAGCTAACATAACGCGTTGTGTTGCTATAAAAATACTGTGCTAATGTTATAATACCCCCTGGATATCTCTGGAGAACTTACTTATTTACAATTTACAATTGAATATTCGTGTCTCTAGTTCCGGGTGTTATCCTGCTAATGTTAGCTGACGGAAATGCTAGTTAGCTAAATAAGTCTAGTAACCTCATTGAGTTCCACTGTCGCCCTGTCATTGATGTAAACGCCGCTTTAGTCAAATTGCTTTTTCTTCATTTTGAAAATTAAGGTTATTGTGGTAAGAGAAAGTTTACTTTTATGAGGACGAACTGATCTACACAACACAAAGCTAGCTCTGTCAAGTCTCCAAACCAGCTTTGGTGACAATGTCGAGCTTGTTTTCTAGCAAGTGTTTTTTCTCCCAGGTTCGTCAATAGGTGCCTTTGGTATATCTATGCCACATTTTTAAGAACACAGCTGTTTTAGCTACACGTAGTCTTGTATCAATCGTTGAAGTAGTTTTTTAATATATGATATTAATTTATATGATGACTTACAAACTATAATATATTAAGAATACATTATGTCCTGTATCTCTTCTAGATATTTTTAGAATTTATGTTCAGGTAAGTGATAAACAACAGTGTCTTATCAGACAGGAGAAGCTCAAATTTAGTTCAGTGTGTTTATCTTTATTTTAGGCTGTGTTATAAATTCTCTATTACTAATTGTACAACCATTTGTTTTGTGCAGGTTTCATTCAGAATATCCAGAGAAGTGCCAATTTGCTCGATATGGGACAAAGATGATCAGCATTGTGCTTCCCTAAAGTGCCGCTATGCTACCAGGTGTTGGAGTTTTTGGCACTGGGACCACAGCCAGAGTGCTTGTCCCATTGTTGAAATCTGAGGGGTTTGAGGTCCATGCTCTCTGGGGACGAAGTGAAGAGGAAGCAAGCTGCTTAGCAAAAGAGCTCGACATTCCATTTCACACAAGTCGATCTGATGATGTTTTGCTGCATCAAGAGGTTGACCTGGTTTGTATCTCTATTCCACCGTCAATGACGAGGCAGATTGCCGTCAAAGCGCTAGGTAAGAGGTTAAAAAATATCTTCTCTTTTCTGGTCATAATTTTAATTTAATTTTTGTTTGTTTGAACACCGCAATAAATATATTTAACAGAAACACAATATACAATCTGTACATCCTGATTAATTTTTAAATGCAACAGGATTCCAGCATGATGACTTCAGTTTCCTGTTTTAGTCTGCAACTTCCTGAGAATGTCTCTGCTAAACTCTGATGTCTATCACGCATAGACTGTATATATAAATGGACATAGCAAACACGCTAGCCTCCCCGTTCCAAATAGGAAGTTCGCCTGCGGGCGCTTCCAGCTCCTTCTGACCTTGGCTCCCATTGACTTACACTGGAATATTGTGGCCCCTCTCTCTGTAATTGCTATGGTGAGCCTTGTCATTTTGGTCTTACAATGTTCACATTAACCTACGCTACATGATCTTGGCATTTTTATTTTGTTGTCTCTATATTCATAATATAGAGCAGGGGTGTCAAACTCATTTTGGTCCGGGGGCCGTATCCAACCTACTTTGATCCTAAAGGGGCCGAATCAGAAAACTCATATAAACCCCAAAAATAACAATAAGTTCAAATATTTGTGCAGAGAAACACAAATCTATTACAGAAATCTTTTTTAATTGATGAACTCTTTCTTATTATAATATTATAAAATTATGAACAACCTGAAACTTTAAGAAAAATTCAATTTCAACACAATAGTTTAACATGAACTTGTATGCAAACAGGAATAAGTCAATTTTTCTTGGAAAATCCTGCACTCGTCTCCACTTTTCTCATTTTTGACATTTTTCTGATGAGGGTGTCACGGTCAACAGTCAAAACGATCGTCCTTTAAGAGCGTTTGGAAAGAGACAAGTCTTCATTTGTGCTGCTCTGGTGGGAGGGGCCACGTACAGAGACACTGGAGATGCTGCTCTGCTCAACACCACAGAAAATTACCAATATTTTATTATTTTATTATTTATTTATTTATTTCAGTCACAGGTATATTTTGACATTAATTCATAAACAGTCATATTTAACATATACAGACCGAAAAGGTGCAGGCTGAAGCTTAAGCTTATTATGGCTACCCTTTATTCCTTTGTCAGAGCGTCATCTTGACACCAGTTCATCTTCAAAAATACAGCAGGATAATAGAAAATATAATAAAAATATTTTAGTAGAAAATCACCCAAGGGCCACATTAAAGGTCTTGGAGGGCCGGATCTGGCCCCCGGGCCTTATGTTTGACACCTGTGATATAGAGCCTGGCTCCAAATTCCCTCTAACCGTTAGCATTGCAAGATTCATTTAAGCCGAACTATGCGCTATGAGTGACGTCACACTCGCTTTGTCTACTTATTTATACAGTCTATGGTATCACCCATTTGAAATTTTCTTGACTCTGTTTATAAATTAGATTTACATGCCGGTCGTGTAGTGGTTTGAGATATGTTTTTTGTTTCCACTTCAGCATTGTGACTTCACCTCCTGGCCATGCTGTTTGCTGAAGATCTCTACCCTCTCTCTCTCCCCATTTTACCACCTCCTCCTACAATACTCTATAGTAAAGCATTAAAGCATTCAGGCCAGAAAATCTTAGAAACAAAAACATTTTTTAGATTTAACTCTTTGTAAACACAACATTCTTTTGTGATTGGGAGAGTTAGTGGCCCCTGGCCTGAACACTATTGTTAATTTCATGATACAACTCTGAATATTCCCTCCTTAGGAATCTTTGTCTCATTTAATAAAGTGATTGCTGTTCAATGTGTAGAAAAGTCATTGGGCTGTGTGTATTTTCTTTGAATACTGTGGCAGCAGCTACTTTATTTTACATGTATTTGAATGTGTTTTGTTCATGCAGGTATTGGAAAAAATGTGGTCTGTGAGAAAGCTGCAACTGCTGTGGACTCATTCAAGATGGTGGCTGCTGCCCGGTATTATCCTCAGCTACTCAGCATAATGGGAAATTCACTGCGTTTCCTCCCAACATTTGTAGCAATGCAAAAGTTGCTGGTGGAGGGATATGTGGGAGAGCTGCAGGTGTGTGACATCCGAGTATATGGACCCAGCCTCTTGGATGAGTCATATGGCTGGACATGTGAGGAGCTAATGGGAGGAGGTGGTCTACACACCATTGGGTCAACAATAATTGATCTTGTAAGTTTTTTAACTGGGGCCAGAGCCCATCGTGTGCACGGTCTTCTGAGGACTTTTGTTCAACAGAACAGTTGTATTAGAGGTATTCGTAGAGTCACTAGCGATGACTTTTGCTTTTTCCAAATGTTGATGAGTGGAAAAGGGTCCAGCTCAAGTGGAGTATGTTGCACTGTAACATTAAATTTTAATATGCCAGGGTCATTTGTACATGAGGTCATGGTAGTGGGATCAGCTGGGAGGTTAATTGCAAGAGGAACAGAGCTTTATGGTCAGCGAAATGGAAGTAAAAATGAAGAGCTTTTGCTTGGAGACAATGGCTGGAATGGGCCAGAGGTGAAAGTGATGTCCCTGCCTCAGATCCAGGGGTTGAGCTCAATGGTGAAGGCCCTAAGACAGTCCTTTCAGGCCCATGAGGAGCGCAGGTCTTGGGCTCGTGGACCTATGGCCATAGCACCAACATTTGAGGATGGGCTGTATGTGCAGACAGTGGTGGAAGCAATAAAGCGGTCGAGCACCAGTGGTGAATGGGAGTGTGTAGAGATCATGAGGGAAGAGCCAGACCCCAACCACAACCTGTGTGAAGCTCTGCAGAGAAATAAGATGTAGATTACTACTTCAGCGTCTATTACACTGGCCTTGGCCTAGAATGTAGTTTTGGTTTAAATCAGCTGCTTAGCAAAGGTAGTTTACACATGAATACTTTATACTTTTTTATTATAAAGCTTTACACATTGGAGCCAGTATACTATCAATTACCTGATAGTATGTAGGCATACACTACATATTTGTAACAAGCCTCAATTCTAAATTTAACAAACCTTAAAGAAAGTAATTTGCATTGCTTTTTAACGATTTTAAAATCAAACATTTTCACAGTCAGTTTGATGTTATGTGAGGACTGCGGTCATACAATTAACTTATCTGATGTCAAATAACTTCTCAACAAATCAAAAAAAAAAAAAAAAATAGATAACTGGTTTTACTTGCCTTTGTATCAACATGGTGAAAAATCTGCTGACAGTTCCAAGGGTTTTTCAGATAAGCTGAGGAAAAGAAAAAGGAGTAAAGAGCTAATTTACATATCATTTTATTTGGCTCCTTTGGGTTTACCTGGGCTGTGATCTTTTTTTTTTTAAATGTATACATTTAGTGAGCACGTTGGTAATTCCATTATGTTTTCAAATTCTATGTTTTTTTTTTTTTTTTTTGTAATTTATATTTTGTGTTATTTATGTTTTCTAAGCTATTTTATTGAGTAAACCTTGAGAGAAAAGTACAACCACTGGATTGTACCTGCCAATGTGTTCTAATGTGCTCACATCAAAATTAAGCAGTTTGCCCTATTTCTGGATGGATGGTTCTGGATCTGTGTTGCTTCTCCAGTTTGAACATGCACACTTACCTCATTCACAGTAGTGCTTTACAAAACCTTGATAATAGCATAACATTAAACTTCTGCAGGGTGCTTGTATATCTATCTTGAAAGTAAATCTAACTCATACTGTACATTTGTTTGCACTGATGCACATTTTAATAAAAGTGCAGCACGAACAGCTCACTGCTAAATATGTGTATTTATTTGTCATGGTGAACAGAAAGTTTTATTAATTTGATGCAAGCTTGAGCAAGTGGTGCTATTTTTCTTGTATTGTAATTGAAATTAAAGCTTTTGTTGTATTATGTAAACATTATTTTTAATAAATTCACTTGACTAGTATTGGTATGTCACTGTTAGTTATAAATGTTTTTTGTTTTTTCTATTAGACTAAATTGTGATATATTATTTATAAACTGATTGATTATGATATTAAAAGTTATTCTGCTCCACATCTTAGTCTATGCACCACATACAAGACATTTTTCCCACTTTGCTTCCTTTTAAATATTTTGCATAGATTGTTGACAAAGATTTATAATTTATAGTTAATAGTATAATTTGCATAGCCATATTATTTATCAAAGGCACATTGAAACAGTGTTGGTTATGATCATGTGGCCCAATGAATATTGCCCACAGAAATGTTTTGCAATTTCAAATACTATATATAGGCGTCTGAAAGCCTGGAAGTCAAATTCCAGGGGAAAATGGCAGTGACGTGTCCAGTGTGCGGTGCTTCACTGAGGTGAAAGATGGCCGACAGCAGCTCGGTAGCCGTAAAAAGATGCGGCTCCGGCTCAGTTTCGTCCGTCAGCATGGACACAATATCAGCTCTGACAGAATTGGAGGATTTAGAAAACGTTTACCAACAGCTTTGTTCTGAAGAGGTTCGTGAAAAGGTCTTGATGATAAATTCGCAGCGTTGCACTTCCGGGAGACTGCTGCTGCGGTCCTTCAGCTTCAAGTGAACCAGAGAAACAAGCTCAAAGCGTTCAATGATGATTTGACTGTTAACTTGTGGAAACGAAATTATAACGATTAGAATAAGGCGTATCCGATGTAAAATGGTGTAAATTATTGGCACAGAAAAAGAGAAGGACAACTCAGTAGAAATGCCTTTATTGCATCCAGTTCCTGTTTGTTCAGTTCACGGTTTATGCTCTTATGTTATTATCACATGTTTAATTTGCCTACACATATGTGCGTTTGTTTTCTGATACAGAAAGAAGTGGAAGCTGAACTGAACAGATTGGTTGCACAGGAAAGCACCATCCACACAAAGATGCTGGCTTTGCAGAGAATGGGGTTACCTTACCAATATACTTTATATTTAATTGTAATTTATAAGTTTTACTTGTTGGATACAGTGAATTATAATAATGTCCCTTTCTGTCTAGGCCTAAACTCCAGCTAATTGAGGGAGATGCCAGTCAACTGTCAGGCATGATAACTTTTACCTGCAGCTTGGCTGAAACTGTCAGCCGCAAAGTGAGACAACTTGATCTGGCAAAAGTGTGTTTATTATTTTATATTTTGAACCATAATGCTTGCAATTAATCATAAAGCTTCAGATTACCTAAATACATTGTAGAAGTAGAATCAATTCCTTTTTCTTTAATCAACTTGTATTTTTTTTTAGACACGGTTGTATAATGTTATCCAGCGAGCTGATGATATCCTGGATCTGAAGTTTTGTACAGATGGTGTTCAAACAGCCCTCCGCAATGAAGATTATGAACAGGCTGCAGCTCACATTCACAGATATCTTTCTCTAGACCAGTCCGTAATCGAACTGAGTCGACAAGGAGAAGAAAGTATGAAGCTCTCACTCATAGTGTATTCATAATGTTTACATGTTGTTATATTAATTTCTCAAATTGCATTTGCTCAGGTAGTTCAGTGGATGCCAGTCTGGTTTGCTCCAAGAGGCAGAACAAAAACTGAAAGTCATTGTTTCTGAAAAACTGGATGAAGCTGTTGCTGCTGTCAATCTAGCACAGGTGGAAAGATTCTTCAAAATCTTCCCTCTATTAGGCCTCCATCAACAGGGTCTTGCACGGTTCGGACAATATCTCTGCACCCAGGTTTGTAGAAAAATTAACATTTGAACTTTGAGAATTGCATTACAATTGTAACAACTAATGATGCACTGAAATTGAATATTAACTGTAACTCTTCATACCCTACAGCTTGCTGCTAAAGCTGAAGAAAACCTCATTTTAGCTACAGGAGGAGATGTGGCTGACAAGAGGGCACCACTTATATTTGCTGACACACTGACTCTTTTGCTTGAAGGTAAAACAAAAATTTTAAAATGTATATATTTCTAGTCACAGAGGATAGTGAAGAGGAAAATGAGATTTTTGTTTTTTTTACAGGCATTGCACGTGTAATTGAGACTCACCAGCCAATAGTGGAAACCTATTATGGACCAGGTCATCTCTATACCTTGATAAGACACCTACAAGAGGAGTGTGATAAACAGGCTCAGAAAATTGTTGACAAATTTATTCAACAGAGAGGATATCACAATAAGGTATGAATTAGATCTTATTCTTAATTTTAAGTATTATTACTTACATATTCTTTCAATTTGGTTATAGTTCCAGATTGTCCAAAACAGCATGTTGAAGACACTTCCAGGTGAAAGGACTGAGCCCAGGTTTGTAAAACAGCTTTCTGCTCTCATACAGTAACTGTGTCAAGAAAATAAAATTTTTGGACATTATCAGGGAGCTGGATCCGGTTCTCACAGAAGTAACAATTATGAACGCCAGGGCTGAGCTCTATCTAAGGTTTTTACGGCGTCGGATTCTGGCAGACTTTGAAGTTGGAGATATACAGAGCATCACAAAGGGTATAATGATTACTTTATTTATAGTTCTTATTCATACAGCTAATGTAATATAGCTTGAAACATAATGGTTCTAGTTCTATTTTACCATTCTATTTCATTTGGTATGTGATGTGTATTATTTTTTTGTTTTCTTATTTTTTCAGAGCATCAGCAGAATGTCGAAAAGCTCCTTAAACATTGTCAACTGAGTAGAACAATGCAAGAGTTAATTGGCTATTACATACCAATGGAGGAGTACTACATGAGGGAATCTGTAAACAAGGTTGTTTTTTTGGGGTTTTTTTTTGGTTAAAGAACCATGTTATTTTCAGTATGGGTTACAGAAATTAAAAAATGTATGATTTTATTTTGTCAATACAATTGCCTCACTCTACAGGCTGTTACGATGGATACATATGAAAAAGGCCAGCTAACATCTAGCATGGTGGATGACTGTTTTTACATTGTGAAAAAGTGCATTAGTAGGGCACTGTCCAGCTCAAGTATTGACTGCTTGTGCGCCATGATCAACCATGCTAACTCAGTGTTGGAGTCAGACTTCAGGTGCTACACATACAAGCTGCATTTAGGCTACTGTATTAGTGAATGTTTGTGTTTTTTAATTAGCGTCTGTAATATTTTTTAACAGGGAAGTACTATATAATAAGTTGCGACAAGGTTTTCCAGCGACTACCCTTCAGGACATCCAACGTGGTGTCAGTAGTGCTGTCAGTCTGATGCAAAGCAGCTTACAACAGGGAAAGTTCAATACTCTGGGCATAGAGAGCACTGAAAATGCGAAGACTGCATTTTTGGTAAGAAATGCTACAAATAGGTGACTTCTAACAAAATCAAGCATGTCCATGATTTCTGTGAACTGGCTCTGTTCACATCTGTTGTTTTTTCTATTTTGTCTCAGGTAACTTTGAATAATGTTGAGGTGTGTAGTGAGAATATATCTACTTTAAAAAGAACCCTTGAGGTAATTTTGGTGAGGTGGGTATTTGAGTTATTTTTTCCTCACTGTAATCCTACATCTTTATTTCTCCTTGCAGAATGACTGTGCCAAGTTGTTTACTCAGGGAACCAGCTCTGTTGAACAAGCCAAAATTGAAAGTTGTTTGTCAGACCTTGTCAACACTTCCACCAAGTTTAAAGATCTTTTACAGGTGGTTAAATGTGTTGTTTAAAATATATTTAATCACCTTCTCCAACAAGTCTCTAAATGTATTTTAGAAAATAAAGACATTAGTTAACATAATTTTTCTCTTTACAGGAGGGTCTGACAGAGCTGAACACAACTGCTATAAAACCTCAAGTTAAACCGTGGATTAGCAGTTTTTTATCAATTTCACACAATATTGAAGAGGTAATAATTACAGCAATATGTCAAAAAAAAAGGTGTACAGTAGAAGCTAAAATTTTAAAATGTTGCCATAGGAAGAGTTTAATGATTATGAGGCCAATGATCCCTGGGTGCAGCAACTTATTGTCAACTTGGAACAGCTTATGTGTGAGTTTAAGGTATTTAAATTCTATTTGCAATTAAAGTTATTTAGATTATATATTTATGGTATATGATCTTAATATATACCTCTACTACCAGATGGCCCTCTCTCCTGTTATCTATGACACCCTGACCAGCCTAATGACCAGCTTAATATCTATTGAACTGGAGAAGACTGTCCTCAAATGTTCATTTAGTCGGGTAAGACATGTTGTCTTTCCACAAGATGGCAGCAGAAACCTTATACTGCAGATCATCCAACATACTTGGCCTGTGTTGTAGCTTGGAGGGTTGCAGTTTGACAAAGAGCTTCGGTCTCTTGTGGCCTACCTTACAACTGTGACTACCTGGACCATCAGGGATAAGTTTGCTCGCCTTACTCAGATGGCCACTATTCTCAACTTGGAGCGGGTAAATTTTACTTTTAAACAACAAATCAAAATTGAGAACAAAGCTATATGATCAATGTATATTTGGTCATTTCAAATCCTGTCAATTAGGTAACTGAGATCTTGGACTACTGGGGTCCCAACTCCGGCCCTCTTACATGGAGACTGACCCCGGCTGAGGTACGACAGGTCTTGGCTCTTCGGATAGACTTCAGAAGTGAAGACATCAAGAGGCTGCGCTTGTAACTGATAAACTAAGGCCACCACAAATCTGAAGATTCACTATGAAGGAAATGTTTCAGAATGGAAGTGTAATGAACTGTGCAGATGTGTGTGAATGCATTTGTATTTTCAGTCTCTGCATATGTTGTTACCAGGGTCAATAATTACTTTTGTATAAACATGTTTAATTAAGATGGGATAGATCTCTAATTTTGCCACTCTGTGAATAACAGTCTTTCAACCTGTAACTGGCATTGAGAAATGAGGACACTTTGGCACTAAGGAGTAGAGCTGTGTGGCTGTCAGTGAAACGGCGCAGTAATGAACTTCATTCCCATTAAACTGACAGAAACAGGTCAGACAGCTGATCCAGCAGAGTCATTCAATATACGAATAGCTCCTTGTCTGTGACGATGGAACACTTTTAACCTAATAAACTGAGAGCTGCGGTGCAATGCTGCTGATCCCTGCCTTCCACTGGGTATTATGAAGTGCAATCTTAATTTTTTCTAACTATGAATGCAAAGCTGTCAATACAATGATGCATTAAACATGGTTCACTTTCATCATTCTAGCTTAGTTTCTCTGTTTAACCCTTCTGTATTTCTGTTCACCCACTTACAAGTTCTTCAGACAACACTGGACATGGAAAGACTTGCAGTCTAATAGAAAGCCCACAATGTAATTTGAAATCAGGAGCACAGATGTAATAAGGAAAAGTGTGGCTTTAATGTAAACACAACATTCGATTGGCTCAGCACAAACATTCCACATGAGAGCAACCAATAAACTACTGAAAAGGATGGGATGCAGCACACAAAAAACATTCACAGTAAAAAAAAAAAATCTGGTATAGTAATCATAATAGTAATATCGTATATACAGTTTGGTGCTTTTAAGGTGGTGAGGAAGAATGTAGACCAAGATGTAAAAGGGAAGAGAATATGAAAAAGGATCAAAGATGAACAGCTGGGTGCACAGATGAAAATGGAGAGCTGTACCTTTCTCTGCAGCCAGAGAAATGTTACACATGGGTAGGTCCCTGTTTACTCATGAGGGGCAAGTCCCCTGACAGAGGCTGCCTCAAATAATATTGTTCTCCTGGTGCAGTCATCTATTTCTAAACAGACTTACATAGGGATAAGTGTAAAGCACCACAAAGAGAACAAAATGCCAAAGAGGGGGGTGCTTTGAACCCTTTGAATTATATATAGTTACAGGTATACCCTAGATTTTTATGACATGAAATAAATAAGTGGCACAAGATTTTAGGAGGTAAGAGGAGGCATGTAGGGCATGAGGCATAAATAAATAATTCAATACAATAAAGTAAAAATGTTAAAATATAACATGATGATCATATGAATTTCAGTTGGGTATGGTTTATGTTCCCAATCTGTTCTCAGATGGCCGGCACCATTATATATCTTTAAGATAGTGGCTGACATTTACCTCATGCTACAGGAGGTCAATGGTCAGATACAACTTTTGAACAGAAGAATATTCTTTTTCATAGTTTTTCTTTTTTTTTTTTTTTTAATATAAGAGAAAAAGTGATATGGGCCTGCAGACTAACCAGTTGTGTGGGTTTGAAGGAAGAGTAATTTTGTGCCATGTCAAAGTTTTTCTTTCCCAATCGTCACCCGGAATGCAGCCTCTGTTTTGATAAAGCCTCTATGTTCAAACACAGCACCAGGATCTAAACCCAAATTACCTTCTTGTACAAGACATTGCACACTCCAATAATTGCATTATATTTTTCTAATAAGAATGGATATAACCCTGGTGCTGCAGTTTCTACCTGAACAGATGTTGACAGTCATTAACACAAACATAACGGATAACAAAAACATTCAGCTAAAACATTTTTCATTGTAATGAAGACAACAGAAAGGAGAAAAATAATAGCAGTTATCCAGGGCGGTGTCTGACGGCAGCTCTTTGGGCCCATTTGGACGTGTAGACTTATATATTCATGTGTGTTATTAACTCCTCATACTCTCCATGACAGCCTCTGTGCTTGTTCAGGCCTCAATACAAGCCACATCCTCTAAGGTTATTTGCAATAATGATGTCAGTGACGGCATCAAACACTACCTGGATGTTCCCTGTATCTGTGGCACAGGTCAGGTGGCAATAGATCTCCTTGTTGGGAGACCGGTTTTTACTCTCAAACTGAACCTGTATATATGCTGTAGCATCATCAGTATTAGCACCTGCAAAAAGACAAACAAATCAACCCCCTAAGTCATTGCAAGTTTAAACACAAGCAAAGACTTTGCTCACCTGTGTATTCTGGAAAGCAGATAGTGAGAGGGGATTTCTTAATCTTCTCAGCAAACAGATCTTTTTTGTTAAGGAAGAGGATGATGGAGGTGTCGATGAAGAACTTATTGTTGCAGATAGAGTCGAAGAGCATAAGCGATTCATGCATGCGATTCTTGAAAAAGCACAAATAATTATGAAGTACGATGTTAGCTAGTTACACAAATTCGTTTTGTCCTCCTGGGTGTTACAAAGATTATCTATATTGTAGAGACTGATATGTGTTTCTGTAAGGAACACACAAACATTTATTTTATCAAACTTACTGTTGTCTCATCTTCATGAAGCACCTGGTCATAGCCACTCAAAGCCACACAGAAGATAATGGCTGTCACATCTTCAAAGCAGTGGATCCACTTCTTTCTTTCTGACCTTTGACCTCCCACATCAAACAGCCTTGAGGATGCAAATCTTAAACTTAAAAAAATGTACGTAGAAGAAGCAAAAGTATTTAACAAGCATACTCCCTTTTATAAAGTCTACCTGAAATGGAGGTTTTTGAAGGTGAAGTGGGTTTCCACAATACCAGTGGTCTTCACCCTGGTTCTCAGGATGTCTTGCTCTGTGGGCTGATAGTCTGCTGCTCCAATTCGGTCTAAACTATCCAGATAACTAAACAACAAGACAGGAGAGTACAGATTGGTACCATTATCATAAAGCTTTAAGGTTATGAGTTATGGATCATTTACTTGTAATTCACTCACTATTTGGCTGAATCATTGAGCTGGTATTCACGAGCACGATTAAAGCACTCTTGTGTTCCAGCATCTGCCCATACACGCTTCATGGCAGTCAGCAGCTCTGCTGAGTACGGTTCTGTGTCCTCCATACGACTGACTACATCACACACCAACTTTGCATCAGCCTGACGATTTCAGAAAGAATACATGACAAGGTTTATGTTTTAATTAGTGGGTTAAAGTTATAGATTTTGTTTAATATGGAACACAACCAACTTTTCTGTCTTTGTCACCAAACTCAATGCCCAATGAGTCCATGGCTCGAAGGATGGCGGCCAAGCTCTGAATGGTGTTGCTGTAGACCACTGGCTTATACTGCTTCACATCATCCCCTGAAAAGCCATCTTCATGGATAATCCTGCAAACGCACATTTCATGTATTAGCACAAAGGCAAGAGTGCGTTGAGAGAATGCACTGACACATCACCATATGTTTTTCAACTTTCTTATTTTGGGCTCATATTTTTCTTACAATGTACAAGACTGCACAAGATTACATGATTTGTATTAAATCCTTTGACAGGAAGAAAATTGACAGAGATTGATCTGTTTGTAGCTGAACAGAGCACTGTAATGTGATATTTGAGACATTTATAATTTATGACTTTCAGTGTCAGTGAATAAGTCACTGCAAATCAATCACAGCTCATACTACATTTTCCAATAAAACAGCGGCATTGTGAACCAGTGAACCCTGCCTCACTCAAGGGTTTATGTACAATAAATATAAAAGCTTTTCCATTTATCAAATCATTCCTGGTTATAGCACAGAGGATTCCCACTGTGTCGACAGATGCGAGCCATACCTTGCTTAATCCAAACATCATATCATGTAAAATGAAATTATGAAATGCAGGATTAACATTTTAAATGCATATCAAAATGCACATCCTTTTACACAGTAGCCAACCTCTGTAAAGATAGTCCTTTAGATTTATGTTAAGTAGCTCAATTGTTTTAATTGATTGAAAATAGAATATAAGCCCTAATCCAAGTGACTAAATAGCCTGAATATCCTTACACGTAAAATGAAAGGATATTTAGACTCAAACCTAATAGCATACACTTAAGATCTATAGACTATAGATCTAACCTTAACAGGTTATTTCAAAAATCTAAGGGATAGTTTGTTTAGGTTTAGTTTATTTATAGTTGAATTAACCCTACTGCTCACTTTACTACTACTGTTTATTTTATATTTATAAATATATTTTTACAGATATCAGGTCCTGTAGGTATAGTCAAGCTGTTTCACTAGGCCCAACTATACACAACCCACTGAAATCAGTTGGCCTACTGGATAAATCACAGCAGCTGTGTGACTGGCAGTGAGACACAGGGGCTAAAACGTGTTTGTAAACAGTGCATGCATGGTCCACCGCGGGGTCAACGCAGAACAAAGAGGTGAGGGAGAGAGGACACTGCATTACCAGGTAGGAGGACGATCAGAAGCAGAACGCAACATGCCAATTAATACTGGGGTAACAAAAAGGACAACATATTTATGATACAATTAACACCAGGGTCTATTCAAACTGAACAGTCTGGAAACTTTGCTAAGAGGGTTATAGACAACTACTGTGATTTAAAACATCAAAGAGTGATTTGGCTTAGATAGTGGGAAGGTTTAGATGCGGTTTTAGATGCCATATTTCTCCGCAAATCCGCTTTATAGGCAAAGTACTGTCGGCGATATCGGGCACTTAAAGCCATTAAGATTAAAAGGAGGTATTCACTAATGGAGCAGTAGTGACCTCTGTAATTCATGCACGAACAGAGGACAACACCCACGTAGAGTCAGTCACTACTGGCATACTGTTCCTGTGTAGTCAAGTGAAACCCTCGTTAGCTACATTTCAGCAACGGCCAGTGAACAGCGCCCTGGGACACACCGCTGAGGCCTATTAGCTGCACAGTCTACATGGGCCGATCGTAATTAAATTCATCGGTAATTGTAGAGCGCTAGTGTCATGTTAAAGTCAGGAAAACTACATGTGGATATTGATTCGGAATAACTATTTATACTGTAAGTGGAAGTTGACATCTCTAAAGGCTGATAGTGAGTACTGTTGCTATGGCAGCAGCCAATTTAAGTTAGCCCCATAGAAAGCTTCCTTTATTTTGTCATTTAAATTACGTTTCCATGGCAACCGGATGTCCCGTTAGTCCGTTTGTTATGATGAGACATGCATTTTGTATTTAGATTATTGCATGATCTAAAATAAATCAGATCTGTCGATAAGGACATTGTAAAGGCGACTACAGGAGGTGCTCAAGTCACCGGCACTCCTCTGGGGCGACGGCCTCTTGAAACATGGCGGCTCAACCTGCCTTCGCTCAGATAACAAGGGGAGGGGATCGGGCCTTTTGCTTCTCAGACGACAAATCTGGTTAAAAGCATAGTAGAAATCACACTTACTTCATCTGTTTGACAATGGTACTTTTGCCGGATTCTCCACCGCCTGTAAAAAATGAAGATAGCCGGTGTTGAGAGAAATCAGTACCATGGAGAGCACCTCCGCCCCATCCATCCCCACTATCGGGAGCAGGAAGCCGCAGCAGCAGCCCTATGGCCCAAAAACGACCCGATTCTTACCGAGTAGTAGCAATTTCACATCCTTAGCAGCGACCAGTCCATCTTCTTTGAGATTTTTTTCGATGGCTTTGCTCCTATCCAGAGCAGCGCGCTCCTCGGCGCTCAGTGTACATCCCATGTTTCAAGGCGAATGAGCAATATCCTCCCTGGTCCGCCCTGTCCCTCGCCGACTCTCAATCACTGCGTTGACTCCTTCGCGCTCCCTCCGCCGATGTTCGCTACAGCATTAGGCCCAGAATGAGGGCAAACAATGGCGTTTTTTCCGTGAATATATGCCTCCGTCCCCTCTATCGGCTTCGAGGGGGTTGTTAGGGGTAGGTTGTCCGCTGCTAAAGCTTGATGGTAGGGGTTATTTGATGGGGAGGGGGTGTCTTTAAGGGCGGAGCTGGCCGCAAGAGGAAGAGGAGGAGATAACGCAGGCAATCTGACTTACGTCAGGATAGCTGTGGTTTAATCACGTCCTATGAAAGAATATTGTGTATACACACACACACACACACACACACACATATATATATATATATATATATATATATATATATATATATATATATATATATATAGCTGTTTAAAAAGTAAGTGCAGTCCCCTTGTTTAATATTACTATTACCATTACACGGGTGTCGTCACGGAAAATAATTGGCTATGATCTCAAATAGTCTAACCTTAAATTGTCAGTGCGAGTGGGGTTTTAAGGTAACATTAACTTGTTAAAACAAATTCATAAACCAAAATATTTGTTGTTCTAATGCACTGTATAGGATTTTTTTTTTTTTTTTGACCAAATTGATAGAACTGACTCAGTTCTTTAGTTTGTAGTGTTTTGCCACATACTGCAGGCCTACACTTTCAATTAAGATATCCTGTGTTTTTTCATTTTGTATGCTGTATTCAGATTCTTTGACAGGAATAAACTCCAAAAAGGTTTCCTATAAAAACAAAGTCCACCGCACTGGCCAATACAGGTATCTAACTAGTTCAACAAACAGGAAGGATGGGTGTATTCAAAAGTTCTCATTTATTTCATTAATGTTGGGGGTGTGACTGCAATGGCATATACAGTGTTTGATAAAAGCTTCTAATCCTATGCATCACATCTGGACGGATGGTCAAGTGGAGTAAAGTGGGGGGGTTGGGCTTTTGCAGCATGAATGAAGAAGGAGAAGTCAAACCTGCAACAGACTCAATCCATGTGAATGTCTTTTTGTCACCAGTAGCAGATCAAACCTGTACACACAAATCTGCCACTTTTGGCCTGGTAATGATGCAACCAGCTATCTTCATCAGCACAGTTTGTCAAACATTCCTGTGCACGTGTGTGACTGACAGGGAGAGATGCTGCTAGGATTAACACTAAACTGCACCTGAGGGAATTTGGACAAAATTATATTTTCAGTTTTAATTACACTAATGGATCAAGCACAAACATGAACACATTTTTTCACAACCATTTAATTTTTTACAAACTAATCGGTGGTTGAAATTAGGGGCAGAGTTCAGACACACACATTAACTCACACAGATCCAACAGGTTTGACCTACATATATACTGAATCTTAAATTGATCAAAACAATCAAATAAAAATGGTGCTGTATGTATTAACGGATCATTAAATCATATTACTTTTCCATTTAGACTATGATAACACAGCTTCAAAATAACCATTTATTTCTATCATTTAATGCAGCAAGCGTACTTGGAATGATATTGGGGTTAACCATTGCTCCATAACAAATACACTGTGCTAAAAATGGACAGCGCACAAGGTGAAAAACTTTCATTTTACTTTTGAATGTCTCACGGCTGAAAGTCCAGAATATTTTCAGCCAAGCTCATGAGTTTGCAGTCCTCCAGTGCTTTGACCAGCCTGCTCAGTTTGGCCTCTCTCCCCTCGGCTTGCATGAAACGATTCAGCAGTTGATAGGCTTGTTCATACAGCCCCTCTCTCTCATATTCATATGCCAGATTGTCTATGGCAGGACCTTTTAGAGCTCTGCAATTCTTTCCCAGGGCCCGTCCTACAAATTTCCACTGACGACCAACTCCACTAGAAAAATTCTGAACATCTGCTTGTGTCAGCATTCGATCCTCTTCAAAGACGGGAGTAACAAACAAAAGAAAAGAAGTAAAATAAATATAAATGCTTTAATACACAGAACTACAGTCAATTAGTAGTGGGCAAAAGTAAAACAAACTTACTAAAAACTCTATTCTGAAACTTGAAGGCATTGATGGGCACAGACTCCTCTTGTGTGGGGGTCTGTGTGTGATTGAAAGCCTGATTTTGTAGCTGCTGCTCCAAATGTTCAATTTCTTCATCACGAAGTCGCTCTGGCTGAGAACACAACACAAAAATATATATTACATGTTGTCATGTCTAGTAAATTAGCATTTTGTTTTATATTTGTCAGATTCAGTTAAGGGCCATGCTATAGTAGCTAGATAAAACATAGCAGCAAATCTGCACCTGTGGCAGCCAGCAATCCCACTGCCACATGTGTGTTTTGCCCAAAGGACACAACAATAACATACACTGGTAAGAGCTTGGATTGAGCTACTAACTTTCGAGTTTGTGGTTTAACATTCCACGTTACTGTAGTTCAGTGCTTCTCAAATAGTGGGGCGCGCGAGGCTCCGTCAAGGGGGGCGCGTTGGACCTCGGGGAACATGCTTTTTTATTTTTTTATTTAGATTTTTTTTACTGTCTTAAGGGCCGTTCACACCAAAGCGTCAAAAAACGCCTTGACGCCTCTATTTGGAGCCTTTGCATTTGAGTTTAGATGCCCCCGACGCGCTTCTTTGACGCCGTGGACGAACGGGACAAAAATACTTGACGCGCGTCCGTTGCCCTGGAAACAAGAGCCCGGTCCCGGTCTTTTCCCGAGTGTTTTTATGACATAAAACATCAACGGAGGAGATCGGGTCGACGACTGGGGCGTATATATGTTTATACTTCGCTGACACTGGATCAGTCCCGGTCTAGTCCTGGTCTAATACCGGTTTATTCCCGGTCTAGTCCTGGTCTAATCACGGTCTAGTCCCGGTCTAGTCCTGGTCTAATCACGGTCTAGTCCCGGTCTGGTCCCGGTGTAGTCCCGGTCTAGTCCTGGTCTAATCACGGTCTAGTCCCGGTCTAGTCCTTGTTTAGTCTCGGTCTATTCTCGGTCTAGTCTCGGTCTAGTCTCGGTCTAGTCTCGGTCTAGTCTCGGTCTAGTCGTTGTTTAGTCCCGGTCTTGTCCTGGTTTGGTCCTGGTCCGGTCCTGGTGTAGTCCTCGCGATCGGCTCGGTGATTGTGGCGTATATATTTATTCTCCGCTCATGTTTGTGGTTCTCGTTCTGGTTCTGGGGTTTTTCTTCCTGATAACAACGTCGCTGCGTCTCTGGATACTCGTCCCTGATTGGTTGACGCTGCGCGTCTGACGCGAAAAGTTCAGCATTTTCAACTTCTTGACGCTGACGCCTTGGACGCGCGTCTTGGCCGCTGACGCCAAAACGCTGAAGACGCGCCGCGCTGACGCCGAAAACGCGCCGCAAAAACGCAGGACGCTCTAGTCGCGCGTCCACATAGACTTTACATAGAAAGTGGACGCTTTGGTCTGAACGGGCCTTTAGAATAAAGTGCAATTGCACTTCCACTACATTAGGGGGCAGAGCGCTCTCATTGGCAGAGTGTGCGCAGGGAGCATTCGCTCGGTGGTGTAGGCGTTTTGTTTGCACTGAGCATGCGCGCTTTGCACACAGCACAGAGTTTGAGTATGAAGTGTAGACACGAAGTGTAGCAGACCCTCAAGTGACACTATGAAAAAATATTTAACAGGGATGAGAAGACAGGCGGAGAGAGACGGAGATAAAGAGACAAACGAAAATCTCCCGAAAGCTAAGACGAGGAAATATGACGAAGCGTATGTAGCGCTTGGCTTCACTGTGACTACGGTGGGAGACGAGGAAAGACCGGTGTGCTTACTGTGTCTAAAAATGTTGGCAGCGGACAGCATGAAGCCCAATAAATTAAGGCTTAAATACATTACACCCCGATCACTCTGATAAGCCGCTTGAGTTTTTTCAGCGAAAACGTGCCGAATATTGCCGACAATCATCCCGCTTGTGACTGCTACTTCAGTAAACCAGCGAGCGTTGTTGGCATCATATAAGGTGGCAGTGTTACGCAGAGGTGTACTTATAACAATTTTATAGACAAATGATACTGTCTATAGTCACGCGGGGGGGCGCGAGATGTTTTATTCGTCCTAGGGGAGGCATGACAGAAAATAATTGAGAAGCACTGCTGTAGTTTAACCTATTGAAAATACAAATTATTACTGGTATCTACTATTACACCTGATTAAGTAATTCAAAAAAGCAACAATTTTAATCTTCACTATTTAAATGTTTTCAATATACTTTTGGGAAAGTATTTAAAAAAAAGTAAAACATCTATTTGCTGTAAATAAAAATACTTGTTAATCTACCTGTGTTTGATTGATAGCAAACACAATCATGAACCAAACCCCAAGAAACAATATTACCTTAGAAAGATGGATTTGTTGCAGGCAAAGCTCCATTTGGTCGAGATAAGGATCCAGGGTATGTGTACTCGCCTTCAGCTGGGTTTGCACAGATATTTCTTGGGGCAGAGTAAGCAGCCGGCAGCCGTGTTGAGAAAGGGATTGCCTCATAGTTCCTGAGCTGTAACTCTCTAAAAATTGCTGACAAGTGGACACATCCAAAAACTTAATCTCCACGCCGAGGAAGGGGTCCGCATCATGGAACTTTAATATTTCATAACCCTCCAGACCACCTGCAGAATCTGAACACAATGTCAAAACAGGTCAATACAAACCTGAGACCTTTATGAAAAATTAAATAAGCAATAACCTTTACCTGAAAGAGTTAACTTGATGACTTTAAAAACAATAAACTTAGCCTTATTGTCTTTGTACAGTGAGAGCAGGTTCACACCAGGGCAAAGTGACTGTAAAAACAGCACAGCACATCCACTCCATGGCGTATGGCCCACAGTCTTGTCTGCCATTCTGTCGACTTGTCAAAACACAGAGATCAATCAGAAACATAAGATACTACAAAGGATAATGCCATTTCCTGTCAGTTTGTGGCAAGTGCACAGCAGGCGTTGATCTACTGTAGTGTATGAAGTTTATTCTGTTTCTTTAGACATAAAATAATAATTGAGACAAATACATTGTGCTGTTAAATACTGTCCTCTCTGATGTAGCCTCACTCTACCTTACCCATTTTATCCCCACCTGCTTGTGAAACATTCATTACATAAAAACACGTTTAATCTTCTCCACTCGCCCAGCTCAGTCTCTAGCTGCTGTACTCTGAATGAACCACAGAGGCCCACTGACTGTGCTC